TGGAAGTTAGCTAATGTAACTCTTTTCATAAAAGGTGATAAAAATTGTCCCAGTAATTACAGACTCATTAGTCTTACATCAGTTATGAGAAAAGTTTTGGAAATTCTGTTAAAAGATGCTTCACAAAGTCATTTAACAAAGTTTAGAATTTTATTGGATAGTCAACATGGTTTCACTGAGGAAAAAACTTGCCTTACAACTCTTTTGACATTCTTTGAAAATGTTTCTGCTTATGTAGATGATGGTAAGGATGTAGATTTGGTGTATCTGGATTTTCAGAAAGCATCTGACAATGTGCCACATAAGGGATGGAAGAAAGCAGAGGGTTGTTACAAATGAAGTTCAGTCAAACTGGATTACTGTCACAAGTGGGGTACTTCAGGGCTCAGTCTTAGGACCTTTGCTCATTTTGATTTAAATCAATGACATAGATGAAGGAATAGTCAATAAATTGCTTAAATTTGCAGACGATATTAAGGTCTTCGGTTTTGCTAGCTGTGAAGACATGCTACTGATTTACAAAAGAATTTAGATCATTTAGTGACTCGGGCAAATAAATGGTAGATGGGTTTTAATTATAATAAATGTAAGATAATGCATGTGGGTTATCACAATTTGAATTATAAGTATAATTTGGATGGGAATAACCTTAACAGTGTTATGAAGGAAAGGGATCTTGGTGTAATACTTGATCAGTCTATAAAGCCATCTGAGCAGTGTGCTGTTGCTTGTGGTAGGGCAAATAGGATTTTAGGTTGTATCTACAGAAATATTGAATACAAGTCTTAAAGAGTTATAATCCCATTGTACAGGTCACTGGTTAGGCCACATGTGGAATATTGTGTTCAGTCTTGCACTCCTTACCTTAGGAAAGACACTGAATTGTTGAAAAGGGTTCAGAGAAGGGTTACTAAAATAGTGCCTGGAATGGATGGGTTGTCATATGAGGAGAGGCTGGAATTTCACAAATTGTTTTCTCTTGAAAAAAGAAGAGTTAGGGAGAGGGAATCTGATTGAGGTGTTTAAGATTGTAAAGGGAATTGATAGTGTTGATGCATCATATTTTTTCATAGTTAACAGTGAGAATAGTAGGACTAGGGGACACAAATATAAATTTTGGCAGGGTAGGAGTCATCTTTAGCTAAGACAGTTTAATCTTTCTAACAGGGTGATTGGCCTTTAGAATGGGGTGCCTTTGGATGTTGTAGAGGCATTAAATTAAAGTGAGAAAAGCTTGATAAGTATATGAATTATAAGGGCTGCCTTTAAGAATTTTTAAAAATTATTCTAGTTTCGTTTAGAGGATGGAACAGCCAAGATGGACCAATAGGTCCATTGTTGTCCCAAAACATTATGTTCTGTTAATGCATAATATGCTCTATATACATAACTTTACTTGATTCTACTTGGAATATATAAATTGAGTTCTATATAAATAAAAGTAAACCATAGGCTACTCATTATATTTTTTATACCATCAAAGGATCTTTAAATTCAAATTGTAAACATGGTAAGTCCTAAATGTTTAGAAGCCCCTGTAAGGTGGTGATCTATCAGAATATTAAAGTCTGAGCAGTCACAGACCCACATGGTTGAATGTCAGAAGATTAGAGCCTAAGCAGTCACAGACTCATATGGCTGAATAGCAAAAGACAGAGGCTGGGCAGTCACAGACTCACATGACTAAATAAAAGTTCGTAAATAGTTACAGAATCAAGTGGCTGAATATTATAGGATTAAAAATTGGCACATACAGACCTATATGTTTAAAGCTGGAAGATTTAGAGTCTGGGCATTCACAGACTCATGTGGTTGAATGTTGGAAGATTAGAGGCTGGACAGTCATAGCCTCATGTGGCTGAATGTCTGAAGGTCAGAAGCTGAGCAGTTATAATCCCACCTGGCTGAATGTCAGAACACTAGGAACTGGGAAGTCACAGACACATTTGGTTGAATGTCAAAAGATTACAGGCTAGGCAGTTGCAGACCTACCTAAATGAACAGCTCAATGGCCACAGAAGTGTTATTTTCTGGTTATGCAGCTTCATGATGATGAAGATAATGCTTGAAGACCAAAGCAAGGTCATTTTAGGGCCACTACACCAGTAAATGACCAATGTGTGTGTCAATATTGCTAAGAAGAAACAGTTCTCCAAAGCAACTTACTGTAGATCTAATCCATGGTGACATAGAGGATGATATTTGCCTCTATTATATGCAATTAGCTCTATGTGAGGTGACCCATGGTAAGCATCTCCTTCACTCTTCATCATCAACAAGTGCACCTGGAGTGGTGATGTCAACATCCTTTTTGAGGTTAAGAAACATGAACCCATTTTAATTCTACAGATGAATACAGATTCAGTATTTAAGCTAGAGAGAACATAAGACACACACAACAAGCTCCCTAACATTATCAAAAGGGATGCATAAAGAGGCAATGGTTTAATGATGTGAGCAGGTATTATTCCAAATGGGCATGAAGGTCTACTTGTGCTTTAGGGAAGAATTCTTGTCTGCTCAAATATTACACAGATTAGATCCTTAAATAATCCTTAAAAGTTCTCGTTAGTGAACGATATTGCACAACCTTACAAAACTCATCTTGTACAAGAATATCTCCAAAATAAAGCTTTATTTCACATGGAGTGACCAGCACATTCCCCTTGACCTCAATCCCACTGAGCTTATGTGGAATCTTCTAGAGAGTTATAATGGCTGAAGACGGCTTGAATGGGTAATGAAGAAAAACTTTAAAATATGTTTAATATAACAGCAAATGTCGAAACGTTGTACAAGTAATTTACACTGACATGGATAATTACTTGTACCTGATGATGACAAAACCTTGTCAAAACGTTGTACATTTGCTGTTATATTAAACATATTTTAAAGTTTTTCTTCATTACCCATTCAAGCCGTCTTCAG